TTTCGTCGATTCACCCTCTAGCGACTTAGGTGGAGAATGCTGCGGGGGAAGGAGGAGGATGAGGGAGTGACTTTTCAAAATTCGCTGAGCAATCAAGGAAGAAAAAGCACGCGAAGGAGGAGGAGGCGGAGGAGGAGGAGGAGCGAGAAGTGCAGGCCGAACAAGTTACAGTAGCCCTTGGTATGTACCCATACATTGGCACACATGAGATGTGCTGCGCGAGCGCCGCAAGCTACGTGGTGTAAGATACGTGAGACCATGGCTGTGTCTCGATCTACTTGGCGAAACCTATGTGGCGTGATATCAGCGTTGCCACCCGTGGCGCGTAGGAGCATGCCGGGGTCTTCGATGGGGCCCAGAGTGCCTTACGCGTGCGCAGAGCTCAGCTTCGGTGTCGCCCCCTCTTCCCACTCAAACAAATAAGTGGTTCGGCTCGTAGTTATGTCAGCCGCAAAGCGTGGTCAAGCCCCATATTTGTTATGCGACACAATAACGAAGTCAAGCCTCCCTCCACCTTGTCTCCAAACCGTGGCCAGGTTCCCCCCCCCCCAAGTGATTTTGAAAACCATTGTCAGGTTCCCTGTTCGTTCCCTTTCTGAAATCCATGGTCCAGCCCCCCTCCCCCTATGCTGAGAACCGTGGTCAAATCCCCCTCCACCTTTTCTGAAATTCAAATTCAACGTCGCCCTTCTACGAAAAACAGCGATTCGGTCCTCCTCCCCATCCCCCTTCCGTTCTCGCCGCGCCCCCCGCCCCTGACCAGCGAAGGCGAGGCCCGAGGAACCAGCAAAGTCGAGATACCAGGAGTCAGGGGGACCAGTAAACGCGGTAGTAGCCAACAAGAGCCAATCCCCCTCCGTCCTTTTTGTGAGAACCAGGGTCCTCACCATTTTTCTGAAAGTAAGTAGGGGAGTGCCAACATAAACGTCCAAAAACGGTGGATCCCCGAGTCTCCTTCGCCGGACGCGATCTGAGCTGCCAGACCCCAAACAGTCGTAGATTTGGATCGTTGCCCCAAAGACCTCAAAGGCAAATCAACATCCTCCCACTCCTGCCCTCCTGCTGCCGCTTTGGCTCAAAACTCCTGCCAAAGACTGCGTAACGCGTTGTCTGAGTCTGTTGCGCCGTTTGTTCGGCCTTGACCTGGCGGCTGCCCGCCGCCGCCTGATGGAGGACGACCTGGCCCTGGGCCTGGATGGCGGCGGCGGCTCTGGCAGCGAGGCCGAAGAAGTGACCGCGCCGACTGCCTCTGCTGCTGCGGCAAGCCGACGAGGAGGCAGGGGCGGCCGCGGCGGCGGCGGCCGAACGGGCCGGGGCCGTGGCAGCAGCGCTCCGAGGATCTGCATCGTGACTGGCTGCAAGGATGTAGCTAAGAAGGGCAAGGGCTCTGCAATTACCACAATCCAGTAATTTCTACGACAACATGTCCTGCCGTGCAAAACATGAGGGCAAAGAGCAGCATGCAACATTCGTCGAGACCATGAAGGATGACCAGACCTGCGACCGTGCCATCCGAGAGTTCGCCGAGAAGAACATCGGATGTGCTAAGTTCCGTAGGAAACATACCATCGACTGGGCCAGTTGGAACGAGCACTACGGCAAGACGCAGTCCCAGGTTGACAAGAAGGGCACAACTCAGTACGAAGAGATGGAATACTGTATCGAGCAAGAGACCAAGTTCGGAAGGACTCCTGAACGAGCTCTCGAGAAGTGGAACGAGCACAAGCGCAACCCAAAGATAGAGCGAGACAACTTTGGAGACAAAGGCTGCCTAAGGTTGTGGGTGCCCTTAAAGGAAGAAAAGCAAGACCTCAATGAGAAATTTATTCAGAGCTTTGCTTCCGATGGGTAGCAACGTTGTGAAGAATGTGAAGATGTCTGATATCGATGCCTTGCGCCGCCACGTTCACGAAGCCGATTCTTCTAAATCTCACGCGTTCTTCCAGGGGGAATCTGGCGTAACAGTCGAGCCGGCCGAGAGCTCGGAAAAAGCCGTGTCAGATACGGACTCTGCAGCATTTTCCTCTGCCAAGAAAGACAAGCGGAAGGCGTCCACGGAACCAATCGAGTTGAGTGACAGCGAGGCCAGCGAAGAGGGAGGCATCGAAGATTCGTCCAAGAAGAAGAGAGGCATGCCCATGGCAGGAAGGCGGGCGACGATGTTCGACACTTGCTCCAGGAAGCTCGGCGAGGAGAAGGCGGCGACGGAGACATTGCTGACCTCAGTGCACGAAGCCTTGAAGATTGCGTCGACCGCCCATCTCGCGGACGAGCGTGCATCGCAGACCCAGTTGCTCTACCTGGAGTCCCTCGAGGTGCAGGCGACGCTCTGCGAAGCTTGGCTGGATCCTGTGGCAGTTCATAAGCGGTTGATTGCCCAAGTACCAAGTCTGCATGCGTACATGCCCAAGCACGCCGACGCGCTTGAAGAGCAAGGCGCGCCGTCCGCCGACGAGAACGGCGCAGCCGGAGATGGGGCCGATGCCCAGGCCGCGGCCGCGGCCGAACCGCCTAGCGAACAACATCCTCAACTCCCTGGTGAGTGGAAGTCTCTACAGAACCGAATGATGACAAGCATGGCTAATCGCGTTCAGGAGGTCAAGAAAGAGTTGAGCGAGACGCCCACTGACAAGCCTGATCCGATGGACGTCGATGGCGGAGGCGAAGCCAGCAAGGATGCAGATGAGGCGCTCGTCAATGTCATCAAGTTGTACAAGCCTGAGGATGTGAATTTGCAAACCCCTGGCTGGCTGAGGTGCCATGGCTCCATGTCTGATTTCCTCGACTCTATCAAGTCTGTCGATTCGGAGGACGCGCTGAAGAAGATGCAGACCAAGTGGAAGCGGATGCAGTTCAGCGTCCTGAACCTGAAGGCGAATCTGAAGTCGGCCATCGGGGACCTAAAGAAGCACGCTGCCTTGACGGTTACAGCGAAGCAGAGGGAGGAGAAGCAGCGAGCAAAAGAGAAATAACAATAACTCGTGCGCAAGCACAGGGAAGATATCAAAGCTAAAGCTGATGACATCCAATCTACGTCCCGCAGAGATGCTGACGTCGCGCCTGCGTTCTTCACCATGACTGGGCCTGGAATTGCGACGGTGCACACATATGAAGGAAAACATGGCATCCCTCTCATCGATGATGCTGCTCTGGACACTCCGTTTATCATTGTCTGTGACTCCCTCGTGTCGCCGTTCCTGGCTCACAACGCGATCAGCCAGATGATGGCCTGGTGGGCCGATCGCTACAAGCAGGCGCGGCACAATCGATGTGAACCCTGAGCTATTGCATTACCTTCTATGTCGGCATGTGTTCTCGAACACTTCAAGCTCCCTTCCCCGTTCTCTACCCTCCTGCCTTTGCCCTTGGGCGCCCTGCCTTCCCACGCCTCCCTCCTGCTCGCAGGCCGCTCTTGAACGCTCCAGGGCGAAGGGGGAAGGAACGGGAGGGGCACTTGGAGAACATATGCCGGCTTAGAGAGGTGATGCGATAGCTCGGGCCTCACATGGTGGCGCATCGCAGGACAAACTGTTCGCCCAAACGCACAAGGTCTCGATGCCGACCGGGAAGGGGAACGAGATTGTCTCGCAGTTCTTCAAAGACATCTTGAACCAATTCAAACAAAAGATCCTGGACATCAGCTCAGTCAGCAAGGCCTGGATGGAGTCCACGTGGCTTCGGGGCGAAGGTTCGGATTTCATCAACGTGCAACTTTCGCCTAACAGTGCTGGCATGTTCCGTCTGACATACCAGGGCAATGCCGAAATCTGCATGATGAGCTCAATGACTGCATGGGGTGCCTTCACCGACGGTGGCAAGAAGATCGAAGGGCACAAGGACATGACAGATGCACTGAAGGACACGACGCAATCCGACCTGGACAAGTAGTCCGAGAGTGGCATGAAGATCTACCGCACGACTGTGAAGGCTGGTGAGATTCTCTTCGTCCCTGCTGGTTGGTTGATTGCATCGAAAGCTACTACTCCATTGAACTACGGCGTGCGGAGGTCTGTGTTCTTCCTGAACTCATCCGACAAGAGGGAGTACTTTAAAGCGAAGAGCTTGCTCGCCAGCTTAGGCCATGACACATCAAAAACGGATCAGACATACAACCTTTTTCTCTTAGGTGCTATGGTCGGATAGGCCATGCGTTGGGGCGGACCGCGCTGTGTCGCGCGAGTTGGCGGTAGGGCTAGGATCGGAGCGACAACAATGAAAGTCCTTGCTGCGGGCACGCTCGATGATTGGAGAATGAGCCAGTCGAGCAAAACCAACACGGTGGACCTCAGACAACGTGAGTTCTTGCACTCTCGAAGCGAGGCGCTACGCACTGCAATCAAACAGAGAAGGGGATGATGAGGAAGAGGAGGATGAAAGAGGGAGGAAAGAGGGGAAAGAGGATTGTAAACAAAACGGAAGCGGCTGACGACGGCCAGGAAATTCACAGAAACCTTGTGTGCAAGCACTGTCTGGGAAATCAGCTCTTCTTCTTTTTCTGCGTCCTCATCCCCATCACAATCCTCATCGTGATTACCACTAGCATGCAATCTTTCTCCTTCCCTCCTCCTCTTCCTCCTTCCCCTCCTCCTCCTCCCTCTCCTCCTCCTTCCCCTCCTCCTCCTCCTCCTCCTCCTCCCCCTCCTCCTCCTCCTCCTCCTCATCCTCCTCCTCCTTCTCTTCTGTTCCCTTCCCCTGCCCCTTCCCCTCTCTCTCCTTTTGTCTTTGGGGTGCGTATGCCAATTTATCATATGCCCCTTCGGCTCTCCCTCAATCTTACTCCTCCTCCGTCGGCTCTTCCCTCCTCTACTCCTCTTTCCTCGCTAACTCATCTCCTCTTCCCTCGGCCCTACCTCTACCAATCACTCCGCACCCCAGCAAACTTCTCAGGGTAGCCATGACTTGGCGCGGGCGATCGAGGAAGGTTTCGCGAGGCGGAGGGCCCTTGAGGCAACCGACCACCCGAGCCCCTGCCGAAGCCCAAGGGGTCCTTATTCCAACGGTTAGGCTGCAGCCTCCGCGTCGAACTTCCTCTTCATCTCGGCGAATGCCTGGTCGCTGATGGAGAAGGCCTTCCGGATGCCGTCCCTGGCCGCCTCGATCTTCTGAATATCCTCGCGCATGCTCTTGAACTTCGACATCGCGTCCGCATCCTCGGCGCCCACCGCCACGTCGCTGGTCAGTTTGCGAAAGATGGTCTGCGAGGGCATCCTGCTCTGGAAGAGGTACACCAGCTCCTCGGTGAAGCGCTCGACATCGCATTCCACCGTCACCATCCTGCTGACAGCACCGCTAGCCAGCTCAGGGCGGAATTTCAACCACTGAGGGCCTGGGTCGAAGAGGCGCTGGATCAAGCTGCCGACCTGCACCTTGAGATCCTTCTCGTCGTCTGCGAAGAGATTCTTGCACTTTAGCACGACGGCCTCGGTGAAATCCGCGTAGTTGCTCAACTGGATCAGGGGTCTCTCCTTGATGCAGCGGCGAAGCTCCTGGATAGGCTTCTTACCAAAAAGCCTTGTGCGGACTTCCCTGAACACCGTCACAATGTCGCCGTCGATCTCGTCAAACTTGCTTTCGGCAGTGATGATGCCTCTCAACTCAGGCAGCCAGAAGGCGTACATGTCTGTGCAGGCCTTGTCGGTAAGAGCCAGCAATTCCGCTTTTGCACACGCCGCTCTTTCACGGGACACGTCGAACTCCACCTGCCTGCCGCTCAGCCTGCCGAGCGCGGCCCGCACGGGCTTGCACAGATCCTCGAGCAGCACATTCTTCATGAAGAGGTACTTAAGCTTCTGCACGGGAGGAGAAGTTGAACACAGTCGGCGACTGATCTCCTGCCTCATTAGCCCCGTCCTCTTAAGAGGGTCATCAAGATGAATGCCAAGTAGATCCGCCGGCCCCCTTGTGGGGCCACCAGGCTGTAGGCGCGAGGTTCGCAGTTTCCTGTGCCGTACCAGTTGTAGCTTGTAGCTTCCAGTGCTACAGTTCTGCTTCTTGCTGGTTGCTGTAACTAATTGATTGACCGCGCGAAGGGGGGGGGAGGCCCAAAACAGATGTTTAGCGTCTCCTGGGCGCGTTGTCTGAATTGCTGGGGGGGGCTCGAAATCGATGCCCCTTACGCAGATCCGCGGGGCCAGGGTCCAAAAACACATGGGATTTGCCAGATTTCTGTAATTCGGCGCCACCCCTCGCGCTGATCCGCGGGGTCAGGGTCCAAAAACACATGGGATTTGCCAGATTTCTGAAATTCGGCGCCACCCCTCAAGCAGATCCGCGGGGTCAGGGTCCAAAAACACATAGGATTTGCTACATTTCTGAAATTCGGTGCCACCCCTCACGCAGATCCGCGGGGTCAGGGTCCAAAAACACATGGGATTTGCCACATTTCTGAAATTCGGTGCCACCCCTCACGCAGATCCGCGGGGTCAGGGTCCAAAAACACATGGGATTTGCCACATTTCTGAAATTCGGTGCCACCCTTCACGCACATCCATCGCAAGGCGTGGTAACCCAAACTGCGAGAACTCCCTCGGCCCTTTAATCGCAAGGTGTGGTAACCAAGCCCGTGAACCATACACGTCTTACCAATCGCCAGGTGTGGTAACCCCTCTTGTGATCAGTTGGTTTTGCTGATTGCGAATCGGCTTCGCATGAAGTTTCGATACTGCTTCACGACAGCGCCAAGTCCTCATGACTCAGCTCTTCCATGGCCCATTCTCCGAGAGAGGGATCCGGCGGCAGGGGGCGAAGCCCTTGATTGAGCTCGAACTCCTTCTCGTCCAGCTTCTTCGATACCTTCTTCAAGGCCCCCTCCTTCCACGTCGTGTTCAAGTAGTCCGAGTACCCTCGCCCCAAGCGTTCCACCAATGCCCCCATGCCAGCCTGATTGCACTCCACGATGTGCTTGAACTCGCCTTTGCTGAAGAAGCTCTTGTCTTCATTCAACTGGATCTGGAGACGCTCGAAATTGTGCGTCTGGAACTCATCGCCCAGAGGCGGCTTCAGCATAGTGGTCACCCACCCCTTGCCCACATCCACCGCACCCAACTCAGCTGGGGAGTCTCCCTCCTTACTGGCTCTGCCAGTCACCAAGGAACAAAGTATGTCTGCGTTAGAAGTCTGGTCACACTTCGAGAACACGCCAAACGTACTGCTCTCTAGCTTGTGGTCCTGTATGAACCTCATCGCGTTGTTAGTGCAGGGGCGGACGTCTCCGCCAGCAGGCACGACGGCGACATACATGCTGTGCGCGCCCGTCGCGGCGTCGCTCTCGAGTTGTTTCTTGAGGACGGACGCGGTAGCCTCGGCCTTTTCTGGAGGCGATGCGGTCAAGCCTGGGAGGTCCACCAAATCAATGCTCGGAACGTCCGGACGGTGGACTTCGAGAACAATGATCTTGTCTTCAACAATCCTGGTTGCCTGCGACTGATCCTCTCCTGCACCCAGATCCACCCGTTCTCCTGGGGCACTTTCTCACGTGTTTCTATCAACTCTTGCTTGCCAGACGGGTGCAGCGCGTACACGGACAAGGTGGCACTTATAGACCCAACCCGCCGCAATCGCACGTGGACGGCCATCCGGGTGCAAAAGCGCCTCGTGCGGGGGAAGACAGGCAACATGGACAGCTGCTCCAAGATCGTCGACTTGCCAGCGCTCTCGTCGCCGATGATGACAATTTTGGGCGGAGTCCAGCCGTCGAGAACGCACGACAAGAGGTCGCGAATGGAATCGAGCTCCAGGAAGGCTTTGCTCAACGCGTTGGACATGGTCACCGTCTGGCTACTGTCGCAGCGGGTTTTCTTCTGTGGTGGGCCTCCCATTGCGGCCACGCTGGCCTCCAGGATGACAGACCGCTGCTCGGAGGCAGCTTGCATCCCATGCGCGGGCCAAGTGATCTCGATATGGTTGCTCGGGTTCTCCATCCATTGCATGAGCTTCTCGATGGCCTCCTTCAGAGGCTTGTTTGGCACCAGTTCGGTACCCATCAGTTTGTTGGTCTGCGGCGAATAGGGTGAATGTTTCTGCCATTTCTCGATTTCCTCGCGCTCGTAGTTGAACTTGTCCTGGGCGGTCACTGGGTACTTCATGAAATCACCACTGATGGGACAGAGGAAGGCTGGTACCTGCGGGTTTCGTGAGGCTATCTGTTGAAAGCGGCCACGCAGCAGCTGGGATACTGCCATTGCTGTGGAGCTTCCTCGAACGCCCTGCGGAATTCGAGCTTCTCGAAGTCGACTGAAAGTTCACTGGAGCCCAAACTGTTTGAGCCAAAATGTCTACAGAGGAGGAGGAGGAGGGGCGGGAGGAGGTAGCCGAATCGATGGAGGAGGGGAAAGAGGGTGGCGGCGCGCACGAGGGCGGGACGCATTTTCCGATGCGAGTTGATGCGGCCTGGCGCGGCCGAGACGATCCGATGCTGGCCCCCTGCCCATGCAGCCTGGTCCGACGCACTGTCTGGTGCGATTTGACTTCCCCAGTCGATGCTGGCTGAATCATCCCTCCCCTCATCCTGCCACCCTTGGCGGCGCGCAGAGGCGGGTGGCGCGAGGGGGGTGGGCTTCCAAGAAGGCGGAGGAACTTCGAAAAAGTGCAGGTACAAGAGATGTGCGCGAGGCCCCGAAGGTTTAGCTATGTACCTCTTCATCTTCTTCGACGGTAGCGAGAAAGGGTGGGACTGCGAGGCACAATAGAAAGGACAACCGAGAACGTGGCCCGCCTCGCAGTCAGGGTGCGGACCCGGAAGAGGTGGATGGGGAGAAGGAGGCGGAGGAGAGTGGAGGAGGGAGGAGGAGGCTCGCTCGCTCAACGATGGAATTTGCCAGTGCCGTTCCCAGCGTGCTTCTCTAAGTATCTCTTGGCAACGGCAAGAATACCATGAGAAAAGCAAACATCAAAGAGGCGGCGGGTGGTCAAACTCAGCACGGAGGAGGGATGTACTTTGATACCTCCAACAGACCGTGCCGAACGGGAGGACGAGGAGGAGCCAGGGTGAACGGAAGGGTGAGAGGAGGGTGAGGGATTCGACGATACCTGGACTCGGGCGAGGAGCGCGCCCTCCGGCCCTCCAGTCGGCGGACTGTCCCGCAGCAGACTGAGAGAGCACAAGACGGGGCAACGACTGCAGAGCTGGGCGAAGTGGGGAGCGAGGGTGTGAGGGAGGAGGGGAGGGGTGCAGGAGGAGAGGACGGGGTCGGTCGGACTGGGCAGAGCCAAGAGGGGGGGTACACTTGTGGCTACCGCCACCGAGATGACTGAGAGAGGGAGGGAGGGAGGGGAGCGTGGGAGGAGGAGAGAACATGGCGGGAGGGAGGGCATCGACGGGGGGCAATCCACAGGGAACAGCGCGCTCGAGAAAGATCCCCACCGACAGCACCTCGACTGGGCTTCCGCGGCAACGTCGCCCCTCGCGCTACGCTGAAAAAAGCGAGCCTCACATGGCCAAGGGGAACAAGCAACGACTGACTACCCACCAGACCACCCCAACCCAATTCGAAGACCCGAATTTCGGGTTGGGCGGTGGGGATTCATTATGTGTTGTTCCATATGTTCCCCGACCCCCCCCACACTGGACATGGAAGGCGAATTTAGGCCTTCGGGTTGGGTTGGGGTGGTTTGGTGGACGGTGAATAACATTTACATAACAACTCGGAGGTCCGCGCGGATTTCTCCCTCCCAGGCGCGTGGAGCGCTCCAGGGGCGGCGCCCGAGGCGCCACCAGGAAGCCCAAGCGCCGATCCGAGAAATCCGCGTGGACCTCCGAGTTTGTATGTTTGTTTGTTGCTCTATGGTCTCACTCTCGCCCCTCGTGCCCGCTGAACTTTTCCCACACAGCGAGTCTCCGTAGCAAGATGTTAGTTCTTGGAGGACGAGGGGGCACGACCACAGGGCTTCACCCGCCTTGGCCTCGACCGCCATGCGAATCAAGAGGTCGCCAGCCAAACCGGGAACACCACACGAGCCGACCTTCGATACGCAAAGTTAGGCACTGAACCGTGGCCTGATAGAGTAACGAGCGAGCCTACAAAGCAAGAGCGATCCCCATCACAGGTTTGGGATTGGCAGCTGCTGCATTGTCGGGCAATGCCAGAAGAGGGGGGCGCGAAGGGCCTTCACGGTGTCTGGCGCAATCACAGCATCCCCTCGAAGGGTCTTGAGCCCAGATCTGCGACACCGTGATGTGTGACGAAGTGGGCCACCACCACAGCGCACGACCCCGTTGGGACAAACTTTTCGTCGCAGATCGATGCCGGACTGCCCCGTGCACGACAACGCCAAACACAAAGGAAGCCGTGAGGCGCAATCTTTCGAAGCCGTGCGCAAGGGGGGAGGGGGGGCGCGAAAGGGGGGGGCCTTCTAAAAAGGTTGGGTGCTTCTTAGAAGGCGGGGGCCTTCTCATAGGCCCTCCCGGCTTCCAAGAAGGTCGCGGGGCCTTTTAAGGAGGCTCCCACCTTCTAAGAAACTGTTTGCGTCGGCGGCCAGGCAGAGTAACTGCGCCGGCGGGAGAGCAATGACACCTTCTAAAAAACACCCCGCCATCTGGACCCCCCCCCTGGCGCCATCCTCCCTGGGCGCGCCGCCAGAACCGTGGGGCCCTCGCGGGCCACGCTCTCGGTTGCCCCTCCGTTTGTGCCTCGCAGTCCCCCCCCTTTGTCGATACCGTCGAAGAAGAGGACGAGGTACATATCTAAACCTTCGGAGCCCCGCGCAAATTTCTTGTATCTGCACTTCTTCTTTGAAGTTCCTCCGCCTTCTTGGAAGCCCCCCCCCTCGCGCCCACCCTTTGGGCGCGCCGCCAGCATCGTGGGGCCCTCGCGGGGACCCCCCGGGCCTGTCGGCGCGCTCCGACCAGCTCTGGAGCCGAGGGCGGGCCCTGGCCGTGGTGACGAGCGCGCTCCCCTCGGGGCGGACGAGAGGGAGGTGCTGCATGGGCAAGTGGCTATACAGTCTGAAAGGCGTTGGTCTGGGCTGTCTTGGAGCACGTTTGGTGTCACCTCGGTGCCCCCTCCTCGCCGTGCCCCCCCCCCACCCCACCTCCCGGAGGTGGGGCGGGGGGGGCACGGCGAGGAGGCGGGGGCACTGGCAGGAAGCCGTCGTGTCCTGCGGGGCGCGGGCCCTGGACCCCGGGAGCCATCCCCCAGGGCCAGCCGTCCGTCCGGAGCTGCTCTGGCCCGTGGAGCACCCAGGACGCCTGGAGACCAGGAACGACCGGGCGCCTGGCCCGCGCCCCGGGGGGCCCGTCTGCTCCCTGGCGAGGCGGGGTGGCAGAAGGGAGGGGGGTCCGTGGAACGGCCGCACGCAGCCCGCTGCCCTGGCACCCCCCGCCGCCCGGAGGGCAACGCCAGAATTAGGTCGGGCCTGCCCCCCTACAGGGGGATTTCGGAGGGAAAATGCCCCGAAATAGTCCAAAACTGGTATTAATACCAAAAATCTGCCCCAGACTATTTTTGGACCATGTTTGAACAGCCCTCCTGTAGAGGGACAGGCCCGAATTAACGCCAGAAGGGGGAGACCGACCTGGAACTGGACATACATCGCCAATGAACTGACGATCGTCGGGCGGGTGGTAAAAGGGGGGGTGGACTGAATGCGGGGTGGAGCATTCAGGGCCCTTTTCTTCACCCTCCCATTTAGGTCACCCCCCATTACCACCCGCCCGAGATAGCCCACCGATTCAGACACCAGGGGGTTCGATTTTTCCAAGGCACGGGCGGCCGACGTCGCGATCACTTCCCCGGGACCAATTTTGCATCCCGAAACGTCATCTGACGGTCCCGAGGCCCAGTGGGGGCCCCGAGGGTCGGACAACGATGCAAAACCTTCGCCTCGATCTTTTTTGAGCCGCCCGATGTCTGGGATAACGAAGCCGCACGCTCGTGGGCGATACGGGTCATCCAGCCCCTGTCGGCTGGCAACGACAGGGGAAGATAGGCATTTGGGGCGGGGGGCCATCGATCTGGAATTGGTGATACATCGCCGATAGATCGGCGACAGGCCGCCGAGAAGGAAGCCGCACCTTCCTGGGCGGGGTGGAGCTATCAGACCCCTATCGCCGATGGGTGGGGGTCCATGCCTCGCCCCCCCCCAACGCCTATCCTCCCCCCATGCCTATCCCCCCCCACGACTATCCCACCGCAATGCCTATCCCCCCCCCAATGCCTATCCCCCCCCCAATGCCTATCCCCCCAATGCCTATCCCCCCCAATGCCGATCCCCCCCAATGCCTATCCCCCCCAACGCCTATCCTCCCCCCATGCCTATCCCCTCAAACGACTATCCCACCGCAATGCCCTATCCCCCCCCCAAAGTGCCCCACAATGCCTACCCCCCTCAATGCCTATCCCCCCCAATGCCTATCCCCCCCAATGCCTATCCCCCCCAATGCCCATCCCCCCACCTAGCGTTGACCCTGCCGTCGGCGACATCACTGGGCGGGAGGCGGTGCGCCGGGCCGCCCGGGGCCTCCCCGGGGGCGCGACCGGCCGCGGCTGCGGGCGGAGCGCCGGGGC